GTATTATTTCTATGTAAGTACCTACATTAAATAAGGTGTAAAATAATATATTTATAAAAACAAATCATGTACATCATGTTTTTGAAGGAAAATAATGCAAAGACAACATATCAAATGTTGAAACTGACACATTTTTTGTTTTTGGAAAAATATATGCCCGTTTTGAATTTGATGCCAGCAACATGTTCCAAAAAGGTTGGGACGGGGGCAACAAAAGGCTGGTAAAATTGTGTAATGCTTTACACATATGGTGGTTGATTGGTAACAGGTCAGTAACATGATTGGGTATAAAAGAGCATCTCAGAGAAGCTGAGTCTTTCAGAAGTAAAGATGAGGAGGAGTTCAACACTCTGTAAAAGACTGCCCAGGCAAATAGTGCAACAATTCAAGAATAACTTTCTCAACATAAAATAGCAAAGACCTTTTCCTTTTCATCATCTACAGTACATAATACATTAAAAGATTCAGAGAATCTGGAGAAATCTCTGTATGCAAGGAACAAGGCCAAAAACAGTATTTGCTGGCCGTGATCTTTAGGCCCTCAGGCAGCACTGCATTAAAAACAGACATGATTCTGTGGTGAAAATCACTGCATGAGCTCAGAAAAATGTCTGCAAACCACTGTCTGTGAAAACAGTTCATTGCTGCATCCACAAATGCAAGTTAAAGCTCTAAAATGCAAAGAAGAAACCAAATATAAACAGGATCCAGAAATGCTGCCACCTTCTCTGGGCCTGAGCTCATTTAAAATGGACTGAGGAAGTGGAAAAGTGTCCTGTGGTCTGACGATTGGAACTTTTTGGAACATGTTGTTGGCATCAAATTCAAAATGGGCATATAATTTTCAAAAAACAATACAATTTCTCAGTTTCAACATTTGATATGTTGTCTTTGTACTTCTTCAATGAAATGTTGGGTTTAAATTATTTGCACATCATTGAATTTTGTTTTTATTTACATTTTGCGTCCCAACTTTTTTTGGAAATGGGATTGTAGAAAATAGTTGTATATTAAACCATGAACACTCCAAAAACCCTTTGCATGAGTAAATCATGAAAGTGTTCTTCAGCTTGACGGTGATGGTGCTGTATATGGTTCTACATAGAGCCTTTTGGAAAAAGGTTATACAGCACAAAAAGGGCTCTTCTATTGTTACGATGTCAAGCCTGTAACAATAGAAGAATCGTTTCAGTGCTATATAGAGACCGCTTTCTTTACTAATAAACCCTTTCAGTGTGTGTGTGTGTGTGTGCGCTATATGTAAGTACCTATATATAATAATGTGTCCCTTATGTATAAGTACCTCTATGTAAAAATAAATAACATATCCCATATGCATAATATAAACATGTAGCTAGTAACCTTTACCTGAGTAACCGAAAGATTTTTGCGCTTTCAGTTTTTTACGATATGGAGCGTCTGTAAAAATAACTGTTGTGTTGGTCCTGTAAACTGATCCTATTTTTGTCCTTAAAACTTACAAAAACAAACATACTCACAGTTTCTCTGTCTCTCTAAAACTGTCTCATTGTGCCTCCTCAGTCCTTCACCTGCATCAAGTGTGTGTAAGAATAGCATGTCCACTTTTCAGGTGGCCACTTTTGACCATTTAAGACCTGTTTCTATAACAACCCTAAGGGCCGTAAGCAAGATGGAGTCATAGAGGTCTGTTTGTTTGTCAGATAGTTTGTGTGTGTGTGTGTGTGTGTGTGTGTGTGTGTGTGTGTGTGTGAACTGGAATCAACTTTTGGACCGTTTTACCTCACATTCATCCAGCGATGATTGCTGCTGCATGAAAAGGAGAGAAATCTGATTCAGGGCTTTTGAGGCAGACACAAAAAGGTACATGGAGAAGGACCCAACTTGGCCATCCACTGCATCCACTTTGCGCAGCCCACACGCTTCATAAGTGCGAGATGCGCTCAGAACGGAGGACACGCTGTCTTAATGTGCCATGACTCACCACTGCTGCAATTTGGATCCACTTTCCGCAGGCTAGCGCTTGGCTCAGACACCCAGAGTGCTGCGCTATATTTGAAGGACCTCTGAGCCTCCCCCAGAAAAGCACCTTGGAGAGCGCCTGCTACAGTTAGACTGTGTGGGAGTGTAAAGTGTGTATTTCCCTCAGGCGTGTAGGCCTTTGCTCAGAAACACTCGGACATATGCACAGATGAATTTCTACAGTCAGCGAGCAGTCAAAAGTTTGGATACGCCTACTCATGTGTGGCTTTTCTTTATTTGTGTTAAAAGTGGGCAGGGGGGGGATGTTGTGGTGACTCGTTATTGGACCTATTGCATCACTCAGATCAACACTTTCCAAATTTACTGTTAAATTAATACCTCTAATACCTTTTCCTTAATAAAGTACATCTGTGTATCTTGTCTATCTGCTGGCCTGTCTATCTATCTATCTATCTATCTATCTATCTATCTATCTATCTATCTATCTATCTATCTATCCTGTATGGCCAACAGTAGGTGTACACCCCTCCTTATTATTGAGTTCAGGTGTTTCAGTCACATTCATTGCTAACAGGTGTATACAGTCAAGCACATAGCCATGCAAATGCAAATGCGTAGCACATAAAAATCACCTATCCTCTGTTGCATGACTCACTACAGAGTTCCAAACTACCTCAAGAAGCAACATCAGCACAAAAAATTGTGCATTAGGAGCTTCATGAAATTCATTTCCATGGCAGAGCAGCTGCACATAAGCCTAAGATCACTATGCGCAATGCCAAGCGTCAGCTGGAATGGCATAAAGCCACTGGACTCTGGAGCAGTGGAAACGTTATCTTGAGTGATGAATTCGCTATCTGGCAGTGTGATGGATGAATCTGGGTTTGGCAGATGCCAGGAGAACATTATCTACTGTCATGCGCAGTGCCAACAGTAAAGTTTGGCGGAGGAGGGATGATGGGCTGGGGCTGTTTTTCAGGGTTTAGGCCCCTCAGTTCCAGTGAAGTGTGATGTTAATACTACAGCACACAAAGACATTTCAGACTATTATATGTTTCCAACTTTGTGGCAGCAGTTTGGGGTAGAGCCTTTACTGTTCTAGCATGACTGTACTGCTGTGCAAAAAAGCAAGGTCCATAAAGACATGGTTTGATGAGTTTGGTGTTACCTCAACCCCACTGAACACCACTGGGATTAATTGGAAGGTCAATTGTGAGCCAGGCCTTCGTCCAACATCAGTGTCTGACCTCGCAAATGCTTTTTTGACTGAATGGTCACAAATTTTCACAGACACACTCCAAAATCTTGGAGAAAGCTTCCTAGAAGAGTAGAGGCTGTTATAGCTGCAAAGGGTGGGGGGCGACTTCATAATCATAATATTCTTAATACCCATAGTTTTGAAATTGGACGTGCAACGGGCTCATATAGGTGTGATGGTCAGGTGTACATATACTCATCTATCTATCTATCTATCTATCTATCTATCTATCTATCTATCTATCTATCTATCTATCAATGATTAGAACACATTATTAGTAATTTTTTATTCACTGGAGGTCATTTTTGCATGATTGCTCTGGAGTCCATAAAATCCTGCATAAGCCACTGCAATTGGGTCCAAACTGTAGCCTGGTCGTGTAAAGAGACCACCAGACTGCCGGAGTAACGGAGGGTAGATTATTTTGAAATAATAAACAATAAAAATAAACAGTTCATGTTGTAAGGAAGAACCTTTAGCATACATTTGCAGTCATTCCCAAATGGAAGACCCTTTCCACTTGATGGAGCCCTCTTTTTTTAGGATTTGAGCACCACCCAGTGGTGAAATTGTGCAGTTACATTTAAATTTCACCATTCAGCATTACTGTGCACAGTCTGACATTCCAGAGGCTTTTATTTCTTTATTAATTTGGTCTCAATTATTCTAATTGTCACAGTCCTCGGTCCAGATAATATACTACACACAGGAGAAACTGGAGAAATGTCAATGGACTGACCCTGTGTAGCGACTGTGATCAGCTACTAGGATCAGTGTTTTGGGGAAGAGGCCACTGCGGAGTCTGTGCTGGTGGATGCAGTAAGGGCTCATGGAGGGCGCTAATGAGCACCATAATGGGAAATGGAGCAGGGGTTCCTGATCCCAGTCCTGGTGACCCCATGCTCTAGGTATTGTGGTGTCTTCCCAAGTCTACACACCTGACCCGGCCCACAAGGAGCTTGTCAACTAGTTAGTGAGTTGAATCAAGTGTGCCAGATGAGAGAAAGCACTACCACTAACTACACTTCAAAGCCCAACCTCCTCGGACACAACAACAAGTACAACAGCAGCAACAGCAGATCGTCCGTTTTTAACCAGGAGTGTGGTTGAGTGCCACCTAAAGCCACTTTACATGGCCACATCCACTAAGCTCCCAAGCCAGCATGGCCCTTGGATGCTGGTATGCTGTCACCAAAATTGGAAATTAACATACTGATCACCACCAAAACCAGCATATGTTGTGTTTTGGATGCTGGTGTGCTGGTCAACCAGCATGACCATGATGGATGAACGACTAAACCAGCACCTAACCAGCGTAGGCCAGCATGGAATGCATGATTTTAGAGCTGCATGTGCCGTACCTCGCCACCAGGCGGTGCCAAATAGTCACTTTCACCCTCAAATTTAGGGAGGGAAGTTTTTTTTTCAACAAGTTGCCTCCACAAAGTTGCTATAGATTTCATTTCTCCTTTATTTTAGTCATTGTTTCCTATTTAAACTGTTAGTCTGGATACAAATAGTGCATAAATTCAAAGTTCACTTCAATGCAGGATTTTGTTTTAGTAAACTTAATAAATTAATAAAGTTAAAATGTGTTCAGATCACGATGCACTTTGTTTAGTGAATTCTGCTGTTGTTATTATTATATATTTATTCGTTCATAAAAGAATACAACTTTTTTTTACGTTTCTTTAAGGTGTATATGTAGAGAGCGCGCGTGACGTCACGAGCCGCGTGGGGAAAAAAATTGTTTTGCAGTCGCGCGCAGAACTTCACTCGCTCGCAGCGCTTTAGCGTACTCGCGCGCTCACTGAGCAGAGCAGAGCAGAGCGCGTGGATGCAGAGTGAGCGAGGCGCGCTCGCGGGAAACTTTGTTTTGGCGTTCAGCTTCACGGACAGCGACGCGGTCACCGAGTTTGGACTCTGCAACCGGACAAACAGATTATGAGCTGAGTGAACAGCCCGAGGAGGAGTGCACGAGAAGGTGAGGGACGCTTTTCACGAGTTTTTCACGTGTTTTTCGCGAACTTTTGCCTCAGGTTGCTGAAAGTAGGAGCACATACAGGAGTTCACGTCAGGAGAGGCGCAGCAAAGTAACGCTCGATAAAAGCCCCTTTTTTCTGTCACTAGTTGTTCCACAGGTACTTTGTAACAGACTTAGCTTACTTATGTTTCTCCACTTTTGGTTTAACGTTGTAAAATTTGCATACATTACTTTAGTAACTGTAGAAAATGTAGGAAAAGTTCAGTTGTTGTTGTTGCCGTTGCTAATTTTGCCAGTATTCTATCGATAAGCTGCGTGATTTGGGCCAATAGGACTGTCATTGACCTCTTCTAGTGGGCAGATTTGACTCCGTGGTCACCAACCCTGCTCCTGGAGATCTGCCTTCCTGAAGTTCCTGAAAAGTTCACTTCAGCTTCCAACCTTGACCCAGATCTGTTAGAGTCCTCCTAAAGGGGCCCATATGAAAGAAAACTGAATTTCTGTGGCCCTTTAGAAATAAAACTGCAGAGACTGTATGTGTCATTGACATGACATGCATTCCTTTGTGTCTAAGTCCATTACTGTCCCAAAAAATAATTTATTAAATACATGACATATCAGTTTATTCAGTTCAGTCCTCTTAAAGGGGCCCATATGACTGAAAACTGAATTTCTGTGGCCCTTAGGGAGTAAAACTTTGGAGACTCAGAAAAGACGTGCTGTATAGGTCATTGACATGATGTGCATTTTTTTGTGTCCAAGTCTATTACTGTCCCAAAACATAATTTAATAAATACATGACAAAGCAATTTGTTCAACAATAGCTCTTTTATGAGAATCAATTTTCAGTGCATCCATATAAAACTAATTTTAGTTTCTTTTTGCCTCCAAAAGTCTAAAAACGTCTAAAAACCATCCAGCCATAGATGTTGATTGAAATAGTATCAAAACATGTAATTTGGTTGTATAAAATTCTAAATAAAATAGTTTGGAATGATCTTATGTTTGACAACCATGTTGCAAAATAAGGCAGCTTTAAAAAGTGGCAAACTCACTGAGAAACTCTGTACGTTCTTACCTCCACAGGTGTCAGACAACACAACCAAAAACAAAAGACTTTTATTTTGATGTGCTTTTATGAAAAAAAGGGGCCAGCGTATTTCACCATAAAGAAGACTCCAAGTAACCTTCATGATGCAATGCCAAAGTCAGCAGCCCTTTCACAAATTTTGGAAAAGTGTCATTTGTGAGTCATGGTTAGAACAATTCACTGTACCATGTCAGGTGGTTTGACCTCGGGGTGTAATGTGTAATGTAAATGTGTAATCATTATAAAAATGTTTATTGAAAACTCAAGCTCAAGGGCAGAGGTTTCTGCCGTTGTCTTAAGTAGATGCCTGTTTAATTTCAAATTGGTCTGAAAAGTAAGGTGGCGCAGCCAGTAAGTCAAATGGTGCAACCAGACCAGCACAGTTTAATAACTGAAACAGGCAATTAAAAGCTTTGATAACACTCACTAGATTTAAGATATAAAATGCACATAGATATCAATGCAAGTATATATGCAGATATAAAACATGCACATCAAGATTTTTGAAAACTGTCATTTTGAAAAACCTTATTTGCAATTGACCTGTATTTTTTTTAAGGTAAAAATCTGGTGAGCACCAGATATGGACCTGGTGCATTGTCTTTGATAGTATCTGGTGCGCAACAGATTTTACCTAAAAATACACCTTGTCCTTCCAGAGGCTCTTAATAAAATAAGCCTGTTTTAAATGTTTTTTTGTGATGTCGTGAAGAGCAACATGTTTTTATGTATTTGACTTTTCAACCTACAACAATCATGCTGAAGTTATGAGGAGTGTTTTAGCCTTGATAACCTTGAATGAGATGCGATACAGAGCAGCCAATCAGAATAGAAGTTATTTACATGTATCAGTCTTAAACGTACAGTAACCAGAACAGACTGTTAATTTTAAAGAATAAAAACAGAAAATTGTTGTGCAAAAATGAATTGTGAATAAGTGGGAAAAAATAATGGGGAAAAAAATTAAAATGCATATAAGATGTAGGATATGGGCTCTTTTAATAGTCAGATCGGGTGCGGTAGATTTGGTCACAATTCCAGCCTGTCCAATAGTAGGAGGGGTCAGAGACATTCCTAAATTATCCACCTTTGTGAAATCCGGCTTTGTCAAATGTCCATGAGTGAGCTGACACACAGTCAGTTAATAAGTGTGATGAGCGATAATGTTGTTGTCATAAACAAGATTTATAAGTTATCGAGACATTTGAAGCCTGATGTCCAGTCTCTCCAATAGTTGAAGAGGTCAGGAACGTTCTACCTTACTGAGAAATCTTCTTTGTAAAACACCCATCAGGTCAGCTTGTGCTGTGACATCATCATCCCCCGCCAGGTGGCTTGAGCCTCCCTCGACCATGGATGTGGGCAGTGAAGTGGACCTCTCCAACGGCAACATCGCCCCGCTGTGGAAGAAGCGCTCGAATGGCCACATCAAGCCCAGACCCCTGAGTTATCAGATTGATGGGTTCATGACAGACTTCCCCACAGGGTCCACAGAAAAGCTTTCCACTCCAGCAGCGGGCACTGCTGTGTTTAAGCATGTCCTGAACAAACCAGCCACACGCAAGACTCGCGTGGTGCGGAGCATCAGCATCGGGCGCCTGACCGACGGACGGTTTTCTTTGGTTAGGTTCGGGTCAGAGGACAGTAAAGAGTCAGTAGACAATCAGCTGCCTAAAACACCACCCACCTGTTCAAAGGTTGGAAATGGCTTGAGCATCCGTGACCCACTGAAGCGCCTGTCCGGCCCGGTCACTCTCACCACTCAGAGAGACCAGATTGTGTTTCGGGACTCACCAGGGAACCCCCAGGAATCAAACTCTCCGTCCCAGGATGCCCCCCGCCTGGTCGCCGCTCCAGAGGTTCGCAGTTCTCCGGTTGCCCTCCGGACACCCTCAGCCCGCAGCTCCACCTCCAGCATCCCCTCCCTCTCCTCTCCCTCCTCTTCTGCCCCCAGCACCCCATCTGAACCGGCCACGCCGCGCACCCCGTCACCCTCCGACAGTGGCAGTATGGTGCTCTTGCGCCAGTCCTCAGGCTCCTCCCAGGTAAGATTTTTTAAATCTTTTCTATAAACATTGGGAAATTCCAACTGCCCTTTACATTCTGATGAATATATGTCGAAATGCAATCCTTTCACCTTTTGTATGGTTTAACAGATGCATTACCAGATGTTGATTAAAAAAAAATGCTTCTTATGTTTCCTATAAAGCTGCCCTTTCAGAGATGCCAGGGTTTCTTATGACAGCAGTGAAATTTGATATCTGCATTTCTTGATAACTGTTGCATGTATTTCCTAGTGCTCAATTGTATGAGTAGAATAAGAGAAAAAAAATACATATAAATAAAAAATAGTCAACAAGATAAAAAAGAGATGCTTTCCTTAAACAGGCTCTTTTACTTTCCTTATTGTCTCGCTGATTAGTGCTGTAGTGAGTGAATGGCTAGACTTCTCCCGTTGTGTCTAATAAGTAAAAGATACACATTGCCTTGCATATTAAAGTAGCAGCTGTTCGAAGTTCAAACTTTGAGAAACAGAACAGTGTAATAATTGTCACAAATGTGCAATATTGATGATGATTTTGGTAATTATTGTTGTCTTTCCATCACCCAGGGCTCTGAAGGCAAGCCACCTACACCCGCTGTGGTCCTCAGCACGCATAGCCCGGTGGCGCTGAAGATGGGCACGCAGCAGCTCATTCCACGTAGTCTGGTCTCAGAAACGCGTCCCAGCAAGGCATCCCAGGCTGGCCCTGAGCGGCAGGGCCTCGGGGGGCTGCTGGACCCCCCTAAACGCGCCCTTCCGCGCCCGCAGCATGGTGGAAAGCGGCGCCTTCTTCTCCACCAGCAGGGAAGATGAAGAGGATGCAGAGGAAAGCCCAGGGCTGCTACGGAGAGGCCTGCGGTCCACATCATACCGCCGGGCCGTGGTCAGTGGCGTAGACTTGGACTCCCCATCTGCCGATCTAAAGAATCACCGGCTGTCTCAGCCGGTCTTCAAAGGATTAACAGAGGTCAAGGAAGGGCCAGGGAGCCCACGGCCAGCAAAGAGCAAGGCGAGTGTAGCCTTATTTTGTTCAGGAGTGTGTAAAGTAGGATTCTCTTCAAAGTGCATTGTTCTAAACATGTTTGGTGTTAGAATTTTTCTAATTTTTGAACTGGAGCTACAAGGCTAATGTAGCCAACGAGTAATGGAAGCTTTTGACCACTAATAAGAGTTAAGTTGTGGACAAAAGTGAAAACAAATGCAGGCTTAAAGATACTTTTGTCTATTTTTAGAGATAACAGTATGCCATATAGTGCCAGAAACCACAAAAGCAAGTCTAGTCTGATAGGTAGATAGTTTGCATGGTGCTAATTCGCATTCAAAAGCTTACATTTCTTAGCTACACTAGCTTTTGGACACCAAACATATTTTAGCTGATTGATTGCATTTAGGATCAGAAGAAAATTGTATGCATTTTAATGTTCGCCAAGCTGTCACTTTGATACTTAATGAAATTCAAAGGAAAAGACTGCTTGTTGGTCGTGAATATAATATTCCAACAATTAGTGTAGTTCGTGTCAGTCCAGCTGACAAAATACCTCTCTCTTCTACAGCATGAGCAGTTATGCTGGAGCTGTACTCCTGTTACAATGCCACAACAAGTCATATGGCCAGAAGCAAATCTGTAATATGTGGTTTACAAGAGAGCGTACTGATCGTACCTTTTGGGCATTAGGCGTGTCCTGCGTTCAACCGTTTGCAGAAAACACAAGAGAGTTAATCAGCGTCCTGCATGTGAACCTGCATGTTGTTTTTTTCGTAATTACGCTGAAAGTGCTGCTTCACAGATTAGCGAAAATGGAAGTTAGTGGCAATTATGTATTTGGTGATATTTCACAGGCAGTTTGTGGTGAATATTGAGTTTAAATATGTAACAAGTACAAAATAGAGCAGAATGTTTGTGGAAATGTGTGACATTCAGTGCAGTCCAAAAGTCTGAGGCCATGGGTGAAAATGCTTGTATATAGCATTTTTTTTATTTGATACAAAATTTTATATTGCCAATTATATTATCAGCATAACGCTTTGAATGAAAAGTGGACTGGAATATTTCAAAGGCATTTCCGAATTTCTTAGTGTTTGGTGGTATGTCCCCCTTTTGCTTTAATGACAGCGTGTCCTCCAGCTGGCACTGACTCTACAAGTCTCTGCAAAAGCCTCTGATGAGTAGATCAAATCCACCTGAGAGTTGATTGTACACGAGCTGCAGTAGAAGGAACAGGACTTAAAAAAACTGACCTTTTTGTTCAAAGGCCTTAAAATTGCAAAGTCAAGCATCTTCAGTATTTCTTCATTTAACCCGCAGTAACGTTTCTGTTTTAAATGTTCAAAACTCTAAAACTACCTCTTGTTTAGATCCTTAGATGAAAAAAAAATTACCACATTTTCAATGTGATCTCACTTTTGGACCCCACTGTATGTCTGTTAAGTTCCTTTGTGGGTAATTGGTAAGAATATCTGAGCAGAGCCTCTCGTCAGGAACGTGACGGATGAAGGACGTTGTTGTTTTTAGGAGCTGTAACCACTCCAGGGTCACTGTCCTCCAATTAGCCCTGTCGGCCACTTTCATGCAAGGCAGAAATCTTGCCTTAGGGGTCAGTGAGGTCAGAGGTTGCGAGCAAGTGGAAATGGGCCATGTCCACTGATGTCCGTCTTTCAGAATTTGACAGGCCGGTGTGAACAAGAGCCGTTGTTTGAGCTGGAAGGAGCAAAAGATCTTTTGTCTTTTATGTCTTTTGAGCCGAGACAGAGGACAGAATGTGCTGTGAGTCGATGGACACAAAAGTGATTGCTTTCAGTTATTTAATGCCAGATGTTGTTGATGAACATAAACAGCTGCTGTTCACACTCTAAACCTAAAGGCAGTATTTTATTCTTTCATTTTACACCTCAGTTGTTACTCCCAGATTTTTTATTTGCCTGTTTGAAACCATTAAGCATGCCAAACATGACGGCATGCTACGGCTGACGATAAAGGGAACTACTAGGGGTCTCTTAGCATTATGAAAATGAGGTCAGGCTGACTGGTAAACATTGCTGGAATTTGTTTGCTGTGTTTGGGTCACGTGTCCTTCAGATTTAGTTCATAAGGTCAGCTAATCGCCTTCCGTTGTTTTCTGCAGAGTGGAGAGAAGAAGAAGAAGGGGCTGCAGACTCAGAGGACGTTTGACAGTGAAGGTAAGGGCTGGTCATTTCTCAGGCTACCTTGAGGCAGCAACTTGGGCTTCCCAACACCATCACAGCACAAAGATCTTATTACATGATGGCAGAGTGAGCATCATCATGAATTCAGTCTCTAATAAGGCTTGGCAGCATGGCAAAAAGGCAGAAAATATCATGGAACTTAATATTTTCATGATATTTTCCACTGTACACATCATGAGGTTTAATTTTTCTGTGGTTTGATAAGCTGAAGCAGACAATACAATAGTAGTGGCGTATTTAAAATGATAAAATATATGAATATAATACAAATGTTTTAACAATAGCTCTACGGCTAATTATGCAGGCCTTACACAGCAAACCTCAAAACCCAGTGCTGAGAAAGTACTGACAAAGCTCAGAAAAGCCTCTCGACGCTATTATTTGTGTTGGCGATATCGTATTGCCCACCTTTATTCAGTGTCCTACATCCCATCTCACGTTGGAAAGAAATGAGAGCTCACAGCAATCTGGCACTTGTTTGGCTGCTGTGGGCGTATAAAAAGCTCTTAAAAAGCTTTTACGCTGGAGTTAAGGAGTTGTTTTGTTAGCGCTTCATTAATTTTAAAAGGGGCTGTAGGCAATTTACCGTTAACATAGCACAGATAAAAACATGATAGCGCAGAGTTTGATTTTAAATCTTGTACAGAATGTCCTGCAGTTATTTAAAAATCTCTCTGTTTTTAGTAATATGTCCAAATAGCATATCATACACAAACATCAACTCAAAAGGCCGACCAAAAAACTTTAAACACGCTATTCTGTCTTGTTCTGTGCGGATGCCAGCATGCTGAAGTGACGTGATGGAACTGTGACGCTGAGAAGTCGCAGCTCTTGGGAAACTCTGTCTCTCCAAGTGGGAATTACAAGTTGAATGATGGGTCAAATGTAGTTTTTCCTACTTGGAAGTCCCACTTGGTCATGAACGCAGCATGACTTCCTATTCACTAAAAGCAGTGTTTCCCAGCTTCTTCCTATTGTTTAGTAATAATAATAAATAATAATACATTATACTTATATAGCGCTTTTCAAGAACTCAAAGACGCTTACAGGTTTTCGAAATACAGAACAGTAAAGACAAACATGAGAACATGAAGCACAGTCATAACATCACAAAACATAGCAGGACTTGGCAAAGGGCTGGTTTAGGATTGAGAACAGTTATAAGCAATAGAAAAGAGATAAGTTGCATAAATGGGAGGAGTTAATACCAGCAAGTAGAGAGTTACAATAGTTCAGGCGACTAGAAATGAATGCATGAATAAGGGTTTCTGCAGCAGACTGAGAGAGTGACGATGTTACGGAGATGGGAAAAGAGGTTTTAACTACAGCGTTGATGTGTGCACTGAATGAGAGAGTTGAGTCAAAGAGAACGCCCAGATTTCGTACCAGAGGGGAAGGGGCCAAAGGGTACACTGTCGATGGAAAGAGAGAAAGGAGAAGTTTTAGAGAGAGTTAAAATGTAGAGCTGGGCGATATGGCCAAAAACGTTATCACGATAAACAAAATTCATATCGTTCGATATCGATACATATTGCGATAAATGTCAAATCATGATTTCTTTCACGTTTGAAGGCTGATTTTGCTCCTGGGTGGTTAATTGTGGATTTTATCACTTATGGTCCGATCATGACAAACACTCGGCAAACAGTGGAACAATTCACACATCTGTCTTGGGACAGTGGGAGAAAGTTTCTGAGCTGTTTTTATCAGCTGGAAAAGCACAGCTGCAATTTTTGTAATAGTCATGATTTAAGAAAGAAAACAGATTATTTTAGCGGTCTGGTGTCGAGCGCTCGGCTACCCCGCTACAAACGCTAAACAAGTGGCCAACAACAGTGCTAAACTCTTTAGTTTCTCAACAACGTCAGCTCGGTTCGGGAGGTCACTGCGGTCACTCCTACCACATCCATGTCAGAGCAGATCACAGTATTCAGACACCAGCTAGCGACGACTGGGTTTCTCTATGCTATCGCAGTAGTTTAAGGGCTGAACCGCAGTATATCTGACGTTCGCTGTGTAAAAGCGTTATCTGCAGTGTGAATCTCTCACACCAGACACAGAGTCCTCCTTTTAGGCATGTTTAAACTGAAAGCGGTGATTTTGTGTCTTGTTTGATCTACCGTATCATCAATTCACCGTGTTGTGCTGGAGCGCTGCTTCAGGTTAGCCAGCAGCTTAAAACAGCTATCCTGGAAAGCTAACCTAGCGCTCTCCCGCTCTCCAATGCCTCACAGCTTCCTCAGTTTACTTTCGAACATGAACCACTTCTTTCTTTCACTTTCGTTGCTCGAGAATGCACTAATACTAAACATATGACGGTTTGGCGCTGTAACACGGCGCTGCAGACGTGATTTAACACCGCTGAAGTTGTTAGGATGCACGGAAAGAGGTGAGTTCGCTGTAGGACAGTACAGTTACACCACTGACCTCGTCACTCACACTCGGTCACAGGAGAACAGATCGCCGGTCGCTCCACTCAAACAGGGACTGTATAACTCTGCGTTTCAGATGTTGCTAAAGACTTATCTTACTCGTGGCCCCCTCCCTCTCTAATCAAGTCGAAAAACTCGGAAGTGCGCCCTCTCCTGGCGACAGCAGAGTAGTGTCGCTTTCCTTGCAGTAGAAAACGCCACCAGGGCTTTCTCTAAAACGTGGAAGTGTGAGAATGGTGTATTATATCGAAAATGTATCGAACCTGTCTTATCGCTCTATTGAGGAAAAGTTATATCGCGATACTTATCGTTATCGTTTTATCGCCCAGCCCTATATGGATCCTATAAGAATAAGTTCCGTTTTGTCACTATTTAACATGAGAAAGTTGTGCTTCATCCATGTTTTAATTTCTGTTATGCAGTTTTCAAGCTGGGCGAGGGGTGGATTTTTAATAGATTGAGCGCTAATGTAAATCTGTGTGTCATCCGCATAACAGTGAAAATTCAGCCTGAAACTACTTATTATGTGGCCAAGAGAAAGCATGTACACAATAAACAAAAGAGGTCCAAGGACTGAGCCTTGAGGGACTCCCCTGTTTGTATGCATTGCACATTTAGTTTTCCTGCTCTAACATGTTCTCAAGAAGGATTTGATGAGCTGATGATGTGATTCTGTTGCAGGAAAAACATTAAACTCGTCTGGGAAGCTGAGTTCAGATTAAAAATCTGATGACCCTTGCTTTGATCTTTGATTGTAGGCTGAAGGGCATAGGAATGCGGTTCAGAAATCGAAAATGGAAAGATCAGATAGCGATTGCTTAGATTTCAAGGAAGTGATAACAAAGATATGTGAGGGGGAAAAAACTGATGGCCTGCTGAAGTGTGAAAAAGCATGTTGCGTAGCTGAAAACATTGATGGTGTTGATGCGTGAATTCTGACTGTACTTTTGTCCAGTAGCATAGATAGAACAATGTTAAACCATATCTGAAACCTTGATTGTTAAGCGTTAAGCAAGTCGGTGCAAGTTGGAGCAAATGTATAATATTCTAGGCCTAAAGTTAATGAGCTTCAATTCCCTTTTAGCGACACTAGCCTCATAGCTCCAGTGCACAGCTAAAGAAAATCTTCAGACACCTTTGATGTGCTGGCTAATTTGGGGTAGGGGCTCAATTGTGAACATAACTATTGTTTAAAGAGTTGCACGTATTCTACCTTGTGATGATATTTTGTGTAGGATATACTGTTTGGCCTGAGTAGAGTTGCCTTTACCTTCCATTTTGCATTGAAGAGCAGAAGGTCATGAACCAACAAGCAGCCAGAAGCCCTCTATTGAATTTTAAGGGGCCAGCCATAAGTCATTTTATATTGCCAATGGATTCACTAATAGATAATAGTAATGGACCAGCATGTTCTGGTGGACTTTTAATGTAGTTATTAAAGGAGTCGCTTATTAGGTTCTCACATCTAGATTGCACTATATTGTTGTTATACGAGCTTAGTAAATTGCCTGTGACCATGCAAATGAGTGTCATCTCATCAAGTCACTGTAGCTTATCCAGTTGTATGTCAGCCTTTTCCATGTCATTATGTCATGTTTGCCAAAAAAACACAAATGTGGTGGTGTTTTGGTCACACTGTAAGCACACAGACCAAACGCTGATCGAACTGATCAAAGTGAGAAGTTTAGCTTCTATCAATAAATAAATCTTCCTTCTCTTATTGCCAGTGATAGCTGTGCTGGTGGAAGGAGAAGCTCTGTTATTTGTTTTATCTTCTTTATGCTCTGATCCTCATCTCTTTATCTCTGCTAGTGACTGCTGATGAGTTCACATCTCAGTGCTAATCTTTGTCTGTGCTGTTACAGAGGATGAGGTTCTCTATCAGAACTACCAGGAGAAGGCACTGCACAACGACTCAGATGAGGATGCCGAGTCCAGAGAAGCCAAGCCAGATGATAACATCGTGGTCCAGAGCAAACTCATCCGAACCTCGTGGAGTCAGCTCAGTGTGGTGAGACGAAGAAACTGCTTTAAACCAACCTAAATCTCCACAAACTGTAGTTACTGGCTGATTCGTAGCAGTTACTGAACAATTCTTAGTAGTTACTGACCGTTTCATAATAGTTACTGACCGTTTCATAGTAGTTACTGAACAATTCTTAGTAGTTACTGAACAATTCTTAGTAGTTACTGACCGTTTCATAGTAGTTACTGAACAATTTATAGTAGTTACTGACCAATCCATAGTAGTTACTGAACAATTCATGGTAGTTACAGACCGTTTCATAATAGTTACTGACCGTTTCATAGTAGTTACTGAACAATTCTTAGTAGTTACTGAACAATTCTTAGTAGTTACTGACCGTTTCATAGTACTTACTGATCGTTTCATAGTACTTACTGATCAATTCATGGGAGTTACTGACCAATTCATGGGAGTTACTGACCAATTCATGGGAGTTACTGACCAATTCATAGAAGTTACTGACCAATTCATAGTAGTTACTGAACTATTAATGGTAGTTACCGAACGATTCATAGTAGGTACTTAATTATACATATATACTCAATAATACATAGATATCGAATAATGCATAGATATTAAATAATGCATAGAAACTGAATGTTAAATAGATACTGAACAGTTTGTAGTAGTTACTGAATAATTCAGAGAAACTGAAAGGTTTGCAGTATTTACTAATTTACTAATAATAAGTCTTAAAAACTAAATAATAGCCTTAAGCTATAAGCACTGAATAATAATAGTAGATTTTTTGGGGCAGCATGCTAAATAAAAATTCAAAGGCCTTTTTTATTTTTATTTCCACAGTGTACACACACACACACACACACACACACACACACACACACACACACACACAAAGTTTAATGTTTTTACAATACAGCACACACCTATCCTCATGCAAGCGAAGGAATGCTGGGGCTGTGAGGAATGCGGTCCTGTCCGGTCGCACGACCGTAACCACCCTGCGAGAGAGAGAGATTAAATCCATTTTATTGTACAAACACACTGTACTGCGCTAACACAGATTATCACAGTGTCTTAGCCGCCGCAATGCCCAGCTAAGATGCGTAGACGAGAGCTTTGTGGTGGCTAAGACGTTGTGGTGATCCATGTTAGTGTAGTGTACTGTGTCCAAACACTGCTTATTAAAAGCCAAACTTGGTTTTCTTTGAAGCCAGTTAACACAGAGTGACATAGAGAGAGAGAGAGAGAGAGAGAGAGGGATAAGCACATCCCCTGGGAAATGTCAGGGAACAGTGCCAGCTCCTTGGCAAACTCCTGAAAATTTCTCCCCATGGAAAAGAATGGAGAGAATGTGTTTGGCTGGAGCTGTGCTGCACCGACTCCTGTTTATGGAATTATGTAATCAAGTTTGGGCCTGGAATGGAACGGAATGGCGGGAGACATTAATGCTATTTTCCACTTTGGCGTCCTGTTCTAGGCCAGCTTAGGCAGGAATGTTCTGGAAGTAGCTCATACGGCGGCCACTGGCTGAGAGAGAGAGAGAAAGATGTGGTGTTGTCGGCAGGTAGGAAAAGAGAAGAGTACTGAAAACGCGATGCACTGAATTTATTTGATTCGAGAGTGAAAATCGTTTTCACAAGAATAAAACATCACCGGCCACTGTGTTTATTATATTCATACCTAGTGTCGACACTCATTCCCTCATTGTCTGTTTTGTCAGGTCCACTTCCCATATAGTTGTATACAGTCAAAAGTTTGGGCGCCGCTGGCCAAATAAAATTTTGTTGATTTTCTGAGCAAAAATAATTTAACACATCCTCCACAGAGAACATACTTCTATACCTTTTAATACACATTTACTGTTTATTTGCTGAATTTAACAAGACGTTTCGTCTTGTTAAAGATTCAGAAGTTACAGCACATTTTATATTTTATTTAATATTATTTTGTGGCATTTTATGTTTTAATTTTTACAATATGTTAATCTTAGCAAATAAATGGAAAACAGTGCACTAACATTTGCAGAATAATACCATTTTTAAGGTTGTTGCCAGTAGAGGGTGTTCACTTATTTTCACTTAGAGAATTAGTAAAATATGTGATTTGACCTGTGGTGCTTTTTCCGTAAGACTGTAGTAAATGATATAATATATAAAAGGCTAGTTTTGTATTATTATTATTGTTATTATATATAGGTTATATGTATTTTACTGTCCACTTTATTCAACACACCTTCCTTGTTGGTCCACCTTGTAGATGTAAAGTCAGATACAGTAGCTCATCTCTTGCTGCACAGTTTGTGTTGGTCATCTTTTAGTCCTTCATCAGTGGTCAGTTTCTGACCATGGGACACTGTGGGCTGCATATTTTTGATTGGTAGACTATTCTTAGTCCAGCAATGACATTGAGTTGTTGAGAAATTGAGAATAATCAACCACCCAAACAATACTTGTTCAATTGTGGTCCTATGGGGGTCCTGAGCATTGACAAATAGGGTGAATGGGGGGCTAACATATATATATATATATATACACATATATGTATACATACATATTTATTGCATTACAGTTTTCAATAGAGAATGGAATGGGCTGAAAAGAAAGAAAGAGGGGGGTGAGAGTGCTTAAGGGTAGATTTTGGCTTCATGTCTGTGTGTGTGCAGTGTGTTCTGGCACAGGCTTGCTCCAGCTTTTGTCTGCTCAGGAAGCAGATTGTGAACGTAGAACAGGTGTGTTTACCTGGCCTCACACATACACAGCAGAGGGGGAAAAACCCTCTGAAATGTTTTCTTCATAGCGAAGAACTTCCTGAAGTACTACAAGCCCACAGTCTCTTTCATTCATTAGGCCGTCTGTTGGCTTAGTGTTTATGTTCGCGACTGGAGCTTCAAAGCAGTGGACAGCTGGCTGAGATGCTTGTAACGTGGACAAATGGCTGCTGCTTTAACAGAATAGTTTGGAGAAAAAGCCAAAATTAACACATTTTCCCTCTTAAACTAAATGTAGTCAATCAGCGGTGACAGTTTGGTGTCTGAAGTTTGCTTCTTTAATTTTACACTGCAGCTGTCAGGCTAATGTAGCTGATAAGCAATAGAAGCCTCAACCAGTGAACTGTCTCCTCCTCCTTTATAATGTCTCTGTTAGAAGCTTGTATTGCTTGTTTAGTTTTACACTGCATATATCAGGCTAGTATAGCTAATAAGCAATAGAAGCTTCTAAGAGAGACATTATAAAGGAGGAGGAGACAGTTCACTGGTTGAAAAATGAAAGGGGTAGCTTGTGATGCTTATCTGTCCTACCTTCTAAGAAAAAGTGCCAGTTGGCTCAAAGCCACAAGCAGGAAGAGCCATCCTTCTGTGCATGTGCAGAAACCAAAACAACCTCAAACATAGTGCTGTTATTTAAGCCAAACTACTTATGCAATATTTTTGTTACCAGCGATTTCAAATGTGGTTTTGAAATGTTAATATGGCTTTTAGTTTGGGGTTTATAACTGCCCAGTGGTGTTGCCACAATGGCCGCCGAGTGGACAGACTTTCCTGTAAGGATTAATTTGCTAACAGCCAGATCAGCATAATGCAAACTGCATGTCTAAGTCATGGCTACAGTTGTGTTTATCTATGCTACATGCTGATGTTCATGTTTATAGATAACAGTCTGTCAGAAACCACAGAAGCAAGTCTCTTAGAGATATCTAACCAACTCGACACGGTTTGAGGCGGGTGTGTGACGTTGCTAATATGCTTCTATTGCCACATTAGCCTCATATCTCCAGTGCTAAATTAAAGAAGCAAACCTTGAGCATCTAACATGTCTTGGCTGATCAACATTTAAAAACGGTACATTTGAGTTTTTGTCATTATTGTCTTGAGAGCAGGATGTGTAGTGGATGGCGAGGAGAAAGCAGAAGCTTTGACACACAGTTAGCCTGGCTTGAGTTATCTGCCTCGTCCTCAGATTTTATTACACCAATCTGGTTTCATCTGACTGACGTCACAGACGCGGGAATTCCCTCCTGTCTCCTAAATGAACTATCTTTTCCCAAAAACCCCTGGCTCACGCCTTTGGCCCTGCACCTGAGTTTTAGTTTCGGTTTCCCAGAAGCGTTTGGTTTCTCGTGACAAGAGGACAGAGATTTTGCGACGAGGAAGAAAATGTTACCTGAAGGCATCAGCTGATATTAGAGCTGACCTTAGTGAACTCAAAGCAGGTTGAAGTTCAGTTTCTGGAAAGGTGTTTCTAGGAGACGGGCTGCCGCTCCCAGCTCTCTCCTCTGATTTCAGTTCTGTTTGTTCCTCATGTTTTCTAAGGCCTCTTGATCATAAAGTGGCTTCTTGGTGACCATAGAGGGTGAAATCTGAGGCAGCTGGACTGGTTTTGTTAGTATAAAGCAGCCATGTGCCTATTGTTTGGGTATATTTAGCTTCAACGCTTCATCAAAGTGTCTTCCTTGGCATGAAGAACAGGTTTGGCCTAAATAATGGTTATGAAACTATTGTTAAAAGGACACATTGGAACTCTTTTGGCCCAAAGGTGGTTGAAACGTCTGAGAGATTTGAGTGCTGATGAGTTTTCACTGTAAAAGGATCAAATACCTGGCCTTTGGCATTATTCTCAAGGTAGTGCTTTTATTAGTTGTTCCTCTTTAAAATATTGAGTTATTGCAAAATCCTCGATTTTTAAAAGCTATATTGAAATGCTAGCCACCCACTGTTAATGGACAGTTTACACTACTGTTCAACCTTTTGGAATTACCTTTCATATTCATAATTGTAATTTTTTTGGTAATAAATCACTCGTGTAGATTTAAATATGACAATCTAGACATCAGAAGCTGTTCTTTGACATTTTATTGAATATTTCAACTTTTTTATTATTAGCAATGAGCAGTTAGGCGACAAGTTGTCTGCCTCGAGATTTGAAGACCACTTTTGAAAGACATTCCGGTTAACTTCATTCTTGATGCTTGGCAGCTTTTTCAGTCATTTTGGAATCATCTACAGCTCTGTCCTTCATTCTGCACTGCAAAAAATAGTTTATTGGCAAGTAAAGTTGTCTTAAATCTAGTTGATATATTTAATATTCCTAATTTTTGAGATGTCATAAACTTATTATAAGATTATTTGACTTTTTCTAGACATTTTTTACTTTTTTTGAGGAATTTTTAAGTAAAATGATCTCATTTTGCTTATTCTAAGAAATATGCTTGAAACCAGCAGAATTATCTGCCAATATAGTGAGATAATTACTTTGAATATGTAAAAACATCTAGAAATAAGGTTTATATTCTTATAATATTCGTACAACCATGTCAAAATGAGAAATATTAGACATTTAGACTACATTTAAGATGATTTCTTTTGTTAAGATATTACATTTTGCAGTGTGGATGCATCAAACTTCTTCTTTTGAAAGCTGAAGTTGTAAAGCATTAGAATGATTTTAATAGTTATCTTATAATTTTATCTGTAGTGCAATTGTGAAAACAGTGATTCCGAACCGAACAGAAATGTGGATGATGGAAAGAATACAGAGTGCTGAGAGGGAGGCAGCGGGAACGTTTTGTTTTCTCTGTGTCCTTCCGCTGATCTCCCCTGTAATATTAGATTCAGTCTAATCCCCGACCTTGGATGCGATTGGGTTGTGAAGTGCAGAGCAGGTTTTTGTTGGGCCTGAGGAGCGAGAGCAGATTTCCTTTCTTCTGCCGTGTCTTTACAGCCCTGTTTTTCTGCCCTGGTTATGAATTAACAGAATGCGGCTCAGGTGGCGGCACTTTCTCCAGGAGAAACCTGATCGCGGCGAATGGTTTTACTCAAACCTGTTCTCTCTCTCACACACACACACACACACACACACACACACGTAATCACTACGGTTTATTTGAGTATCGTCACACACTCTTTCTGTACAAACACCAGCACTCGCACACACATACGCTTTATGCGGACCCCCCACGCAACATAATTTAACAGCGTACTTTAATCCCTGTGGAGGATTGGGCTGAATAAAGCAGTTTTATTTAGAAAAAATATATAAAGGCTGCAGATTCAAAGCTCAGTAAATCCCCCATCTCCAAATGGCCCACTGGGGCACTTCACTGAGCATGCCCAGACCAGGTGCGTGAAGGGCCTCTTTGTTAGCCGGATGCTGGCCAAAGGAGGACGGATTCCTCCCTTTCCCGCCATGCTGGGGTGAAACGAATCAGATTTTAGTCATACCCTGCAGTAGGGGTGGGCAATATGGTAAAACGTCATGATACTTCAAGGCATTTTCATCATACACAGTACATATCTCAGTATTTCACAAGTTGTTTTGAGATTTGCAAAGTTGGAACAAACAAAAAGATGCAAATTTTAAAAAAGTACAATAATTGTATACAACAGTTCATAAGCTGCACGGCACTAAATCCAGTTAAACACTAATCACGCTTTGTTTGTGATGAAACATGCAGTTAGTCAGCGTCCAAGTACTGTGATAAAACGGATAGTTCCGGTCCTAAAATCTGATTGGCCGAGCTGTGTTCGAAGCCGTTGTAAAATCTGTGATATACCCACACCTGTGACTGCTTCACAACAACTGAACTCTGTATTACAGCACGACACAAAAAACCCTTGGGCTGTTAATGGAATAATCTTTGACTCTCATGCTGCTCACATGAAGCGTCGAGTATTTTGATGAAGAGCCTGTTTTTTGTTTAAAGTGAGGGGCTGGCAGCTTATGTTCTTATCTAGAGCTAGGCTGGTCAGCTAGCTAACAGGCTAAAAGAGCCAACAGCCTAAACACCTACATCATTAATATCACAGGCTTGAAATAAAGCACTTACGGTATGATCAACTGTAAAAGGCCAGTATAAAAGTCTAAAAAAAAGGTCACTTGAATGTTTGATTGAAATACAGACAGGCATAAAATGTCTGTGTTTCAGTCGGAAGTAGCGTCAAACCCAGGCTGGATCCCAAACGGCTCTGTGCTCCCTAAATAGTGTTCTAGCTATGAAAGTTTGGAAATTCTAGTCTCTACAGCCAAACAGTGCATCATTTTTCGAGTGTGGGTGTGTCTGAGTCCCAGATGACTGTTTCTTAGCTGTATTTTGCACTGTTCGGCTGCAGGATCCAGGAGTTAAATTCCTATATAGTGCACTATGTAGGGAGCAGGGAGCTGTTTGAGATTCAGCCCCAGCACGAGAAGAGGGCACCGCTGGATTGGTGCTAGACTTACAAAGCGAAGGTTTTTGTAATAAACAGTGCTGTTTTATTATGTTCATTGTTATATGACAACAAGTTTTAAAAATTCATGAAATGAACGCAATACTCAGCGAATGGGAGACCGAACATTCTCCTCATTCAGCGGCCCATGGTTGCTTTGCAATGATACCACACTCTAAATGAACCACATTTCTTGGCAGAATACTTGTTTATGTCAATTATTATTAAAAATAACTTTGGAAAATTGTGCGTTTTATCATATTTTATGTCTGCCGCACTTGAGGCCATGCGTTACTGCGGTTTTATCACAGGGAAGGGAGTTTTAGGCACGACGCAAAGCGGAACACTCTCCTCTGTAATAAGATCGCAGTAACGCTATGGCCTCTCATGGCTTATTGCTTTAATAATATTCAGAATGTGCTCAGGAAAGCATATTGGTTTAATAATTCTCATAGTGAAGTGGAATTGTCACAGTGATTCACAATGGATGAAGAAGTTATATAGCATGGTGGTTATACATTCTATGGTGGTTTATCTATTTGTCCATTAATTGAGTAATAATCTTTTAAAATCAAACACTAATAACGGTCTAAACTGAACAATAATAATCATTTTCAATGGTTTCACTTTATTGTATAAAGAAAAACTAGGCAGCCCTACATTACATGATTAGTGCATTTGTAAAAGGCACCAGAACAAAACATGTTTACAAATAATCATAACCTGAACAGTAGTAGTGATGCTTTCATATGTATTTACTTTGTATTGCCTTATTTGTGTTGGACATAGAAGAGATTTTGAAAATCCTGTTAAATGTTTTCATGTGTTTTAGTGCTTTTTAAACATTTACAGAACAGAGTTGTGTTCGTGAACGAAGGCTGTACCAACACACACCATCCCAAACAGCTCTGCCTCCGCCGCGTGTGTTAGCATCGCGCTCGGCAGACACAAATAGTCTGTGGCTAAAGGCAGAGCACTGTGTGACTATTTGAGGTCTAATCAAATCTCACTCTAATCACCCTGAGGCGCTTCATCCCGGCTGCTCTCTCCTCCTGCAGGTTAAAAAAAATGGAGTGGCTGAGAGGCTGAGCCAGGAGGAGCGAAAGAGACAAGAGGTAATGATTCTCTCTCTCTCTCTCTCTCTCTCTCTCTCTCTCTCTCTCTCTCTCTCTCTCTCTCTCTCTTCTTCTTCTCTCACTGCACCTCTTTACACCATTCTCTGCCTCTCTCGCTCTTTCTTTGTATTACTTTCTCTTTTCTAACTCTCTCTTCTTTCTCTCCCATTCTCTCTCTCTTCTTTTCTCTCACCTGTATGTGCTTCTCTCTCTTTACCATTCTTTATTATTTAACTCTACCTCTCTCCCGTTCTCTCCTTCCCATTACATTCTCTTTTTGTTCACCTCTCTTTTTTGGGTTCTCTCTCTGTCCTTATCACACTGTCTCTCTTTCGGTTTCTCTTTTCCCCTTTCTCCCTCCCTTTCTCTCTTTTTTCTCTCTCTTTACCATTCTTTCTTTTTAACTATTTCTCTCTTGTTCTCTTCCTTGCATCTCTTATTACATTCTTTTTTTCTCTACCGCTCCTCCTTTTTTCTGTTCTCTCTCTCTCTCTCCTTATCACTCTCTTTGGGTTTCCCTCTTTTCCTCTTTATCTCTCTTCCTGTCTTTTTCTCCTTTCTTCTCCCGTCTCTCCCTCCCCTTGCTCTCACTTTCTCTCTTCTTTTTCTCTACTCTTTTCTCTTTCTGACTTTTACTCACTCCTTTTCTTTCTCACTGTCCTCCCCCTGTTCTTTCTCTCTTCCTTTCTCTCCCTTTCTCTCTTTCTCTCCCTTCCCATCCCCCATTATTATTCTTTTTCTTTAGCTATCTCTCTCCCTTTCTCCCCCCCTCAACCCAAATCTGAGCCCCCCTCTCTTCTCCATGGTGACGGCTGTATTTTGTATAAGCCCATCCTGATATGTGAGATGGGTCACTGTAGCGCAGGCGTTTGTCTCTCTGGAGTCTGCTTTGTGAGAACTGTCTGTTTTGGGGACACATGAATTAAAGCTATGGGAAGCGTTCTTGAATTTGCTGCATTAAACTCATAAATCGCACTTACTGTAAACATTAGGCCGATAAATAAACTTTCAAACCGCAAGAGCAGGAAGGAGCACAACGTCCTAGTAATAAACAAATACGTCCCATTACGGGCAGTATGGGCAGGGGTTCTCATATCCGAGTAAATAAAGGATTTCATCAGAAGTCTTATTGAGAATTCCATCAGAACCGCTAGTGGTCTTATTGTGATTGAGTTGTGCTCCAGTTCCTCCAGCATTTCTAAGAAGCTTAAATATGCTTGGTATGTTAATGAGGCCTGCTCATCGGTAAAACAGCTAAACTCTCCCACTGATTTTCTGCTCTGTGTCAGCTAAATGCTCTTCAGTGGAAGGGTGTGGTCAAACCTCACAGTGTATTATGCTGTAGTAGTAAGACATTGCAAAATGTAAGCAGGACCAGTCAGTGTCAAGAATGACTGATTGGATTGGAATGAAAGTGTTGAGCCATGAGGAGGAAAATCAATGTTATAGGTAGACCAACCCATAATGCAGTGAAGTTGGTGAAAGTTTGCTTCTGATTGGCATGAATGGACAGAATATGGACAAAATTCAGGCTCCAAAATGAATGCTGTTAGTGAGTGTGTTTACATGCACTCAATAATGCGATCATAATCGGATTTCTGCAGATATCCAATTATTCAAATGGTCATGTAAACACCATACTCCGATCTAGAAATCTGATTAAGAAATCTGATAAAGAGAAGAGTAATCAGATTTCTGAGTGCATGTGAACTCTTACTCTGATTTCTTTCGGATTTCTCAGTCTGTGCCTAGGCGAAAACAGACGGCGGTACCAGATAAAAGCAAGCAGCGTTGCCCCGAGACACAGCAAAACACTTTTGGAGCGTCACTGAAATGAAACACGAAATAATGGATTTAAATGTTCTTCATCTTCTAGATGATGTATGTTTATATTTTCAGGTAAAGTGTTGCGATGTTTAAACAAAAACAAAGCCGCGGCATGAAGTTTATGTTTTACGTTATGTTTGCGCCATGTCTTCTTTTGTGAGTTTATTGGCTGGTGATTACCGCCTGACTCTGATTATCTGATTACTCAAGAGGATATATAAACGTGTTGATTGGATTACTGACTAAATCTGATTTTCTGCAGTTATCGGATTATTAAGCACATGTAAATACACTCGAATGTCCATAACAATGTCATGTTTTCTGTTTAATTTTTCTGTTTAAGATTACTTAGGCTACATTCACATTACAAGCCTTTTACTCAAATCCGATCTCTCTGCCACGATGGTTCACAGTAATGTGAACAAACCGGCGTCCTGAAATGACCCTCATGCGCACGTCCAACTCAGTAAAGTCAAGTGAATGAATCACGTGCATCGTCAGCAAACAAACTAACGAGCAGAACGAGGCTAATTAACTCTGATCAGCTCTCAGCTGTTCGTTATTAGAGCGAGACGAAGGTGAAAAAGGTGAGATGTGTTTTTCCACCGTTTACAGGCTTTAACTTCTGTTCGCCGCTGCTGTCATGGTAATGCTGAACGATGGCATACGAGGTCGCATGGCCACGAATTGGATACGTATCCGATCTAGGACCATGCTATACGCCATGATTCAGCATTACCATGGCAGCAGCGCCAAACAGAAGTTAAAGCCTGTAAACGGTGGAAAAACGGTGGTCCACACAGCCCTGAAAACATCCCCTGAGACACATTAGGGCAAAAAATCGGATTTGTGCCACTTCAACCTGGTAATGTGAACGTAGCCTTGAAGGCATGCAGTTTGCAAAATGCTAAGCTTCTTTTACTTGTTAGCTACCTTAGCTACCTAAACTTCTGACTGTCTCTTTGTTCAAAGGCATTGCAAAGGTAGTATTTCTAGTACGAAATACATACTTTATTGCAAGGTGTTTGCATCTGATCATAACTTTAAGGCTTTATTTCTCTCTCAGACAATATTTGAGGTGATCTCGTCAGAGCACAGCTACCTGCACAGCCTCACAATCCTCATTCGCCTGTTCAAGGATTCAACAGAACTCAGCGATACCATGACCAAGACAGACCACCACCACCTCTTCTCCAACATCGTGGACGTCTGTGAGGCCAGTTTGAAGTAAGCACTCTTCCTTCCCTTCACTACTTTGGCTGCATTGGCTATTTGTAGTCTAGTTTTGAAGCCAAAATCAGAAGAAACGTTCTGCGTGCTTTGTGCCTCGTTCAGTTGTTCTTTAGCCATTTTTTTCTTGTGGACGTAGCTTTTGGATTGTGTATAGTTTATGCAACATCCCCAATACATTGGCTGTTTCACTGGCTGCTTCTAGTCTAGTTTTGAGCCAAAATCAAATCCGTGCCTCCTTCTGTTGTAGACAGTTTTGTGGAAAAAAGGGTTTCAGAGTTTGGCTGCTGAATCAGTTGAAATTGTATAATGTGTCCACTTAATTGGCTATTAGTCTACTTTACTGGCTATTTTAATTCCAGTTTTAAAGCTTATATCAGAGGAAGATGTGCTCTGTGCCATCTTAAGTTCTTCCGTACCCAGTTATCTGAAAGTTTGCTTATGAAAACTGATTGAGAGAGATTGTGTGGTGTGTCTAATTTCATTAGCTTTTTGTGTTGGCTAGTGTGGTTTTGAAGCCAAAATCAGATCAGCTATGTTTTGGAAACACCAAACATACTTTCTGGCCTCTTTAGCGTAGATTTGACTCCTCAGCTTCTGTCGTCTACAAAGCATGTTGGGAAACAGTCTTAGCGGTTAACCACGCTGCTCCCTGCTGTCTCTCAGTTTTGTGCTCCTACATGTAATTCACATTGTATTATCTTTTTTCTCTGTTGGTTGAAGGCTTTGTCTGGCGACGGAAGTGTGTGTAGCTGGAGGGGTTTTGGAGTTTGGTGTTGTTCTCTGGAGTTTGATGTTGTTCTCTGGGACAAAAGAAGCTCTGCTGACGTGAACTTGGGGATAGAATATCACACACTGGCGTAATTGTGTGGGCCTAGACTTTTATATTTCCAGTTTTGGCTCGGGGAGTTCCCTCCCTGAGGGGTGCGAGGAGGGTGCCATAAGGCCAGAGCAGAACAGAGTAGTACAGCTTTCATTCTTTCTTATTTAGAGATCCACATTGTTTACAGAGCTTTATTGATTTACTGTGGATGGATCCATCCATCTTTTCATCCTTATGGATAACAAACAAGAATGGTGGATGTTGCAGAGCTGTGTGAGGTAGCAGTGGAAATTTCTGACCTCCCAGTGGTTTGACTTGATTAGTTCTGTAGGAAACGATTCATTCGCCATGATTCGATTTATGTATTTTGATTTTTTTTCAGTTTTGCTGAATAAACCAGTGTGACTGAAGAAGTATTTGCACAGTAGCGAAATATAGGTCTGGGCAGTCTGAGCATAATTATCGTTATTGTGGTAAATTCCATCATATTACACCACAGTTTGCTTTTCTGAGCACTTAAAGACCACTGACCAATGTTTCATGACGAAGAGAGAATAATTAGAATTTTCCCCAATTTTCTCCCCAGTTTAGTCGTATCCAATTCCAACCCACTAGTTAGGACTCCCACAATCACACGATCCCACCAGTGCTAGGAGGCGAAGGCCGCACAGGCTTCCTCCGAGACCTGTGAAGCACCACATCATCTTTTCGAACTGCTACCGACACAAGATCGTTGGACAGCCGAACGCGCTCGGAGGAAAGCGCCAAACTCCAGATCTGTTACGTCAGCTAACAGACGCCTGTGCAGACTAGCATCGCACTGAGTGATGGTGGGGACAGCGGGCCATCCTACTTACCCAGATAGAGCGAGGCCAGTTGTGTTTTCTTGGACTTCCAGTCACAGATGTATTCGTAGTTTTTAAAAGAGTTTTAACATGGCACTACTGGCTCCTTTTATCTGTTTTCTAACTTACTAAACCTCAGAAAGACAAAATCATCACGTTATTTCTTTGCTGTATCATCCAGCCCTGGTGGAGTATGGATAAAAAAGCAATACTGCAAGCTTTATTTTATGTTTTTACATTTGAAAATAGCTGTGTTCAAAAATGATATATATTATTTAGGCCAAAGTGAGTTGATTCTAACATTCTAACATTCAAAGTCAGTGTGATTGAATGGCCTTTTTCACCCTAGTTAGAGGTCAGTTTAGTCTGATGCTTATGCAGTTATAAATTCCGTATTATTGCAGGCTCCTTCAAATCTAATCTAAATGTCAGGATTTTTGCAGTATCATCTGTTGATCTTGGGCATTGCTTGGCTGACAGAGTTGCTCTCTGTGTAGTCTCTTCTCCTCTTTATTCTGTCTGTTTTCCACTGGAGGGTATGCAGCTTGTTTAAGTTAGGCCATGAGGTCTGGTTTGTGTCTTTAGTTCTCAGCCGAGAAGGCCGTGAGGGTACAGTATGCCATTTAGGGCTGGTTGTAGGAGAGAGCCGAGTGCCAAAGTTGAGTTGTATATTAATTTAGAGTTCTGTGTTTTGTGCGCTGTTTTTGTTTAGTTTTCCAAATTCCGTAGTCATTTTTCTTTACTTATTGAAGTCAAGGCATTGTGAGTGCTGTAAATCTGACAAATTTAGCGTGTGAGGTAGTTTTATAACCCAGAGAAGTGCTGATGGATGAAAACCTGACACACATCAGTGATACAAGAGACAGAAAGAGAACCGCCATAAAACAAATGTTAATTCCATCGTCACGCTTCGACCTACACGCTGCCGTTCCTGCACGGATGAGCTCAGAGCCCGTTCGGTGCCAGCAGGGCTCGATTAGTTTGAACAGAGTTTGTGTAAATATTAGCACTGTGTGAGCAAAGGTTGAAGTTGGGCAGGCTGTCAGAGTGTTAGTGATGAATACGCTGGACTGGCCAGGCACACGACCAGCAGGGTATTTCGCAAAGCAGGATTTCTCACTTTAAGCCCAGAGCGAGGGTTGTCCAATAGGAATATCCCTGATCTCTCCTGCTGGACAGGCTTGACCTATGGCTTAATTTATCTGGCTAACTGAGGAGTCCTGCCTTGTGAAATAACCTCAGGTATTACTTTAAAGGCTTGTGTCATTTGTCTTTTCGAGGTGTTGTCTGCTGGCCTCAGACCAGACCCTATGCTTGTCATAATTATTACATAATTGCCTAATCATAATTACTTAAGACAATTACAGTTATTTAGGCTGACTAGAGTTTAGCTACGCTACACAAGATTTGAGGATTTGGAGACCTCTCTGGTGGAAATGTGTAATTGCATGCAATGTGCAAATCTGTTGTGCTTCAGACCCCTTCCCCGAGTGGATGAATCTGATGAATTCAGAAAACTCAGTCAAAATTTGGTGAAGGGTGTGTCTTCTGTGGATGAATTATCTATTATTGTCATAATAACTTCTTCAGTATAGTGTTGATTTTGCATTTGAGGCCTAAACATCAAGCTGGACCTTCTTTTTGAACCTGTGCATTCACAGCATATAACAGCGTACCTTATTTTTCTTTAATAAAATGCTCTAGGTTATACCGGTAGGCTTGTTGTGTCAGTTAAGTCTTGGAGGCTGCCCCTTCAGATGAGCTACCACCAACATACAAACTGGTGCAATGGTAGATGGAGACTTGTCGCCTTCTATACGAGGTCTTTTCTCCTCATTGGATGATGGGCTGCATTGGTTTGCCAAGAAAAAATTGAGGACAGAGAAATATCTTTTATTATTTTTGTTTCCAGCTACGGTAGCTAGTCTAGTTAAAGCACTACCTGTTTAAACACGTCCTTGGCAAAATGCATGGAAGATAAACACAACATTATATACTTACTTAATTCACTGCTGTCGGAACAAAACTTTGTATTTCCATTTTTGTTGCTTTTCAGTTTTTTAAATAATTTGAAAAAACCTGTTGCTCTTTACGTTGTGTGTAAATTTCATGATCAATGGATCAAAACAAATGCCCAGAAATCACTTGGAAAAAAAGTCTGGTTCCACTGACTTACATTAGAAGTAAAGTATGTTTTTTCCTTCTTCTGTAAAGCTACCATTTTGGAGATGCGAGGTTTTGTTACGACAACATTGAATTGCAAATACAAGAAAGCTCTTGCTCTTCCTACATCCATGTCAAAGCGATTCACAAGGGTTGCGCTATATATTTTCTCTTTGACTTTCCGTGAGGAACTATGAATACTTACGCTTTCAGGATTCTTATACTGGCACCTGGACGTACTTGAGTACTTGTGCACGTGGCTAGTGGCTGTGCTTCTCCAGGCTGCATTGTTTCCTAGAAATTGAGGCTACAATAGACATACTGTGACTGGCATGTGCTGGTCTGAGGTCAGTGTGACTGACTGACAGCACTGTGGTTGTTCCCAGGTCACTGATTTAAAAGGGATTATGTAACCATTGTGTGTTGCTAGTGTCTGTTAAGCAGCAGATCATGAGCTCACAGTTAGATAAGCTTGTGCTACCAGTCATGTTTATTCATTATGCCGGTGTGTTTATGTGAGAGCACATGCTCATATGCATGTGTGTGTACATGCATGTAGGCAACCCAAATCGGTTCTTGCCCTCTGAACCTTTCATTTTAGGTAAGTGTCCAGGAACTGGACAGATGTCTAATTTTTAAATGTCCAGCAAGCCTGCATTGTAATGCTGTCTGCTAAGTGTGGATGATATGGTAAAAAAAAAAAAAAGTAAATCACAATGCTTCAAGACATTTTCATGATACATGATATGCATCACAATATTTTGTATATCTGATATTTAATAGGTTAGACCAGACAAAACCAAACCTGTAGTGCCACATATAAAAAAAAAAAATTAATAAACCAGATTTTTATTGAGTATTTTACAAACTATTCCAATTAAACAGACTAATTACACTTTCTTAAAACGTGGTTATTTATCATTCTTTAAGTACTGACAATATCCACAATATATGCTGAAAAGCATATTGTGGCATAATCTATCACACTTATGATAAAATATCATCATACTGCCCACCTCTACTAGATACTGCTCAACATTTTGCATGGTGTCCAGGTCCATCTGTGGGATTACTGCTGTGTGTGTCCATATTTTAACACTGTTTACTCTGCATATGCTGAGTCAACTCCAGACACTCAAACAGAAGGAAGAGTAGAACAAGCATTT